CAGGATGAATATTATGGGACCATCCACGACAACAAATTTTTTCCTTTCTTCCTTGTACGGGCTCCTGAACCAAATCTTCCACCGTGTATTTCGAGAACACCCTTACACACAACTATGGTCCGGCGCAGGTCAAATTTGAGCAGCGCACTTTCCTCTTATGACGTCTGATTTGAAAAACCGGCGCCGATTTTCACCACTCGGGCTTCTCTTCAATTTCTCGAGAACTTCTTCTGGGGCTAGGTTCGCCAAATTTCACAGATACACAGCTTAAGGTACTAGCTTCCAAATGGTATAGTAGCCCGCTGCTCTATCCCCTTTGCTTTTCTGCCATTCCTCTATATGTAGCGGCACGTTTGAATGGGATGACCTAATATATGGTCTTTCTTGCCTCCCATCCTTTCGCTCGATTCAATTTCAGCTATTGATCTGGGAGGTTGATCTTATCCATGGAAAAGATGTGCAGGTTCGGTTCGTAGCTGTGAGGGGTACCATACTGGTTACACTGAAACGTGTGGCGGTGAAGCTGGAAGGTTTATGATAATCGAAGGATCCTTCATGCTCGCCCCTGTACCCTTCAACCTTTGTGATGCCGCATACATAGGCTACAGAACTTATAGTACAGGACTGTTGAACTGTTGCATAGGTTCTTAACTGACAAAGAAATTGCATACAGTCTTGTTCGCTGCGGATGATGGGGCGTGTCAGCGAGGCTGGGTCCAGCGCGTCGCCAGCCCGTTCTGCACCAGTTGTTGAAGCGAGAAAGCGACAAGAAATGGCAGAAACTGATACGAATAATATGATAGTCATGTCTAAAAGGAAAAAAGCAAAAAAAAAACGAGCCGGCACCGCGCAAAAACCCATCTCAGGTCCATCACCGCACCGAAAAGACTGTGAAATGTCATTGTAACCACCTTGTTTTCCGAACTGTCGCTGCAATCGGTGTGCCGTTTGAACTTTGCAGATTTCTGATCCGAATTGCTGTTTGAATGAAAGTTTCGGTCGATATCTGCAAAGAACAGAGGCAACATCCCGAATCAATCAATTTTGGTACCCTCATTATGAAAAATTCGAAGTTTCAAAGCATACTGTTCACGAGGAGCACCATGAGATTCACATACAAATAGAAGCTGCGAAAAGCGGAAAAGTAAAAATGAGTGCACCACAAGTACGAACCAAGAGGCCCCATTCATGAAAGGACGCTGGATGAACGTGGTGCTCTTCAAGCTCTTCGAAACTAGTTAGGTCTACATAAGCACCAACTATACACACTCTTGAAGCAGGCTGGCGCGTCTAGTTAAAGACCGGAAAAAGCACCACTTTTCCAGGAATACCTTACCTGCATCTGTGCTGCTGTATTAGCCAGCTCCGTTTTCACTTCTTCGATCCTTTCTTCCTGCGACTTGCCATGCATTTCTTCATGTGGACGATTCTAGAAATGTCCTGAAGACTAACGGAAACGAAAGTGACAAAATTAAAATAAAAAAGGAACTACAATTCGATAACCACCTTCAACGACTTCGCCCAAATATAAACAATCGCAATTGCAGCTCTAGTGACAAACTTATGACCTTCCACTAAGTAGCAGTCGATAACTCGTACCACGTGGCTCAATGGAAGTCCACTGAAGATCCATGACAGCCAAGTCTCGCAGCTGAAAAAACCTACTGAACGCTGAACGCTTTTCAACTCACAAATTCAGCCTATCGTAAAATAAGCGTGATGGCAACTGCCACGGCAGCACAATAGGTGTACTTCAGCGTGACCGAGTTGCTGCAAGAGTGGTACAACAGACGTTGCGAGTGTTGTCGCGTGCGCGGCATTCACACCAAGACCCAACTGGTTCAACATGGTGACGCTGTAGTGCATCCATTCGACTAACTACGAAATAGTCTACCGCTGATGGAGTTCATTAAATCCGACGCGTGGCATCGCGCACAAATTGCCCTGGTTAAACGACTACACGCACTGCGGCATTACCACGTTGAATGAGTTAGGTCCTGGTCTGAACACCCTGCTGGCAACGGCTGTTTCGAACCAGGGCATGCCATGCGTTGCGCTAAGTCTCTGCTTGATACGTCTCCCCAACCCCCTTCTCCAAAGAAAACAGGTGATATGGAGTCGGATACTGGAATTGTCAACATTATTTCGCATTTGGAAGTTGTACTGGAGCATGCTATTCTGCAATATCTGGCGACTGGG